TTTCCGTATCCGTTCCGTTGTGTTCCGGGTCGGCGCCGTTGTCTCCGACACTCTTGGGACCCGTTAACATGATCACCCTGGAAACAAATGATATAATTCTTTACTTTCATTCAGAATATATTTTTGGAGCAATATACTGGCTGAATTCCTGGGACGTTAATGTGTAGAAATTAGCTGCTATAAGTGTATAATTTGCCTGCTTTCAAGTGTATAATTTGGCATCTTTGGTGAGAAATGCAGCATGAATTATTGTTTCATGTTAACCGTACTTTGCTGAAGCTTTAGTGCACAGCTATCAATTACGTGAAATTGGAAGGAGTAATATGAGTAATTCGGACGACGAAAGTTAAGGCTGAGTAAAGGAGATGAGTAATGGGTAATGCCCAGGTACTCCAAGACCGCCAGGTCCCTCCAAGACTACCAGGTCCCTCCAAGACCACCAGGTCCCTCTAAGACAACCAGGTCCCTCCAAGACCACCAGGTCTCTCCAAGACAACCAGGTCCCTCCAAGACAACCAGGTCCCTCCAAGACAACCAGGTCCCTCCAAGACCACCAGGTCCCACAAGACTACCAGGTCCCTCCAAGACTACCAGGTCCCTCCAAGACAACCAGGTCCCTCCAAGACTACCAGGTCCCTCCAAGACTACGAGGTCCCTCCAAGACTACCAGGTCCCTCCAAGACTACCAGGTCCCTCCAAGACCACCAGGTCCCACAAGACTACCAGGTCCCTCCAAGACCACCAGGTCCCACAAGACAACCAGGTCCCTCCAAGACTACCAGGTCCCTCCAAGACTACCAGGTCCCTCCAAGACAACCAGGTCCCTCCAAGACTACCAGGTCCCTCCAAGACCACCAGGTCCCTCCAAGACTACCAGGTCCCTCCAAGACCACCAGGTCCCTCCAAGACTACCAGGTCCCTCCAAGACCACCAGGTCCCACAAGATTACCAGGTCCCTCCAAGACCACCAGGTCCCTCCAAGACCACCAGGTCCCTCCAAGACAACCAGGTCCCTCCAAGACTACCAGGTCCCTCCAAGACCACCAGGTCCCTCCAAGACCACCAGGTCCCTCCAAGACCGCCAGGTCCCTCCAAGACAACCAGGTCCCTCCAAGACTACCAGGTCCCTCCAAGACTACCAGGTCCCTCCAAGACCACCAGGTCCCACAAGACTACCAGGTCCCTCCAAGACCATCAGGTCCCTCCAAGACCACCAGGTCCCTCCAAGACAACCAGGTCCCTCCAAGACTACCAGGTCCCTCCAAGACTACCAGGTCCCTCCAAGACTACCAGGTCCCTCCAAGACTACCAGGTCCCACAAGACTACCAGGTCCCTCCAAGACCACCAGGTCCCTCCAAGACTACCAGGTCCCTCCAAGACCACCAGGTCCCACAAGACTACCAGGTCCCTCCAAGACAACCAGGTCCCTTCAAGACAACCAGGTCCCACAAGACTACCAGGTCCCTCCAAGACCACCAGGTCCCTCCAAGACTACCAGGTCCCTCCAAGAGTACCAGGTCCCTCCAAGAGCACCAGGTCCCACAAGACTACCAGGTCCCTCCAAGACAACCAGGTCCCCCCAAGACAACCAGGTCCCTCCAAGACAACCAGGTCCCTCCAAGACAACCAGGTCCCTCCAAGACCGCCAGGTCCCTCCAAGACCGCCAGGTCCCTCCAAGACAACCAGGTCCCTCCAAGACAACCAGGTCCCTCCAAGACAACCAGGTCCCTCCAAGACCGCCAGGTCCCTCCAAGACAACCAGGTCCCTCCAAGACAACCAAGTCCCTCCAAGACAACCAGGTCCCTCCAAGACAACCAGGTCCCTCCAAGACAACCAGGTCCCTCCAAGACAACCAGGTCCCCCCAAGACAACCAGGAAGCCTATATGTCCCACTAACACCCTTGGACACCCCTCCAAGACCTCCACAACCTCTCCAAGATCCCCACGACCTCTCCAAGACCCCCACGACCTCTCCAAGACCCCCACGACCTTTCCAAGACCCCCACGACCCCTCCAAGACCCCCCACGACCTCTCCAAGACCCCCACGACCTCTCCAAGACCTCCACGACCTCTCCAAGACCCCCTCGACCTCTCCAAGACCCCCCGACCCCTCCAAGACCCCCACGACCTCTCCAAGACCCCCATGACCCCTCTAAGACCTTTACAACCCCTCCAAGACCCTCACGACCCCCTCCATGACCCTGGCGACCCTTCCAAGACCCCACAACCCCTCCAAGACTCCCACGACCTCTCCAAGACCCCCATGACCCTCTAAGACCTTTGCAACCCCTCCAAGACCCCCACGACCCCTCCAAGACCCCCACGACCTCTCCAAGACCCCCCATGACCCCTCTAAGACCTTTACAACCCCTCCAAGACCCTCACGACCCCTCCATGACCCTCGCGACCCTTCCAAGACCCCACAACCCCTCCAAGACCCCCATGACCCCTTCAAGACCCCAACGATCCCTCTAAGACCCCCACGATTCACTCCAAGAACCTCTACGACCCCTCCAAGACCCCCACAACCCCTCCAAGACCCCTGCACGTCCCTCTAAGACACTTGCACATTCCTCCAAGACCCCACGACCCCTCCAAAACCCCAACGATCCCTCCAAAACCCCCACGATTCACTCCAAGACCCCACAAACCCTCCAAGACCCCCACAAACCCTCCAAGACCCCCACGACCCCTCCAAAACCCCAACGATCCCTCCAAAAACCCCACAAAGCCTCCAAGATCTCCCACGACCTCTGCAAGACCCCCACGACTCACTTCAAGATCCCCACGACCCCTCCAAGACCCCCACGACCCCTCCAAAACCCCAACGATCCCTCCAAGACCCCGACGCCTCACTCCAAGACCCTCTCGACCCCTCCAAGACCCCCACGACCCCTCCAAGACCCCCACAACCCCTCCAAGACCCCCACAACCCCTCCAACCCCCACCCCCAAGACCCCACAACCCCTCCAAAACCCCCACAACCCCTCCAAGACCCCCACAACCCCTCCAAGACCCCCACAACCCCTCCCCTCCAAGACCCCCACAACCCCCTCCAAGACCCCCCACCCTCCCCTCCAAGACCCCCACCCCCTCCAAGACCCCCACAAGACCCCTCCAAGACCCCCACATCCCCTCCAAGACCCCCCACATCCCCTCCAAGACCCCCTACATCCCCTCCAAGACCCCCTACATCCCCTCCAAGACCCCCCACACATCCCCTCCAAGACCCCCTACATCCCCTCCAAGACCCCCACATCCCCTCCAAGACCCCCTACATCCCCTCCAAGACCCCCTACATCCCCTCCAAGACCCCCTGCACGTCTTCAAAGGACTTACGCGAACGGGACGACGATGAGGAGGTTGAGGGCAGCAGCGAAGAAGAACTGGGCCGAGGGGAAGTGGGCCACGGTGTTGGAATATATTCCCTGGTAGACCCCGTACGCCACCAGGGGCATCAGGCCGTTCAACGAGGCCATTACTGCTGTCACGTGACCTGCCGGAGAGAGAGGGGGGGGCGGGGTTATAGATGGGTTATAAAGTTGTAGTTTAACGAAGCTGTTTGTGCTGTTATGTGAACTGGAGCGTGAGAGGTGAAGCTTTCTCATAAGCTGATGGGAAGCTTATACCCTGAGTGACAGTGTATGTATCCTGAGTGACAGTGTGTGTATCCTGAGTGACAGTGTATGTATCCTGAGTGACAGTGTGTGTATCCTGAGTGACAGTGTATGTATACTGAGTGACAGTGTGTATATCCTGAGTGACTGTATCCTGAGTGACAGTGTATGTATCCTGAGTGACAGTGTATGTATCCTGAGTGACAGTGTGTATACCCTGAGTGACAGTGTGTATACCCTGAGTGACAGTGTATGTATTCTGAGTGACAGTGTGTGTATCCTGAGTGACAGTGTATGTATCCTGAGTGACAGTGTGTATACCCTGAGTGACAGTGTGTATACCCTGAGTGACAGTGTATGTATTCTGAGTGAGTGTATGTATCCTGAGTGACAGTGTATGTATCCTGAGTGACAGTGTATGTATACTGAGTGACAGTGTGTGTATTCTGAGTGACAGTGTATCTATTCTGAGTGACAGTGTGTATACCCTGAGTGACAGTGTATCTATTCTGAGTGACAGTGTGTGTGTGTATCCTGAGTAACAGTGTATCCTGAGTGACAGTGTATGTATGCTGAGTGACAGTGTATGTATCCTGAGTGACAGTGTGTATTCCCTGAGTGACAGTGTGTATACCCTGAGTGACAGTGTATGTATCCTGAGTGACAGTGTGTATACTCTGAGTGACAGTGTGTATACCCTGAGTGACAGTGTATGCATCCTGAGTGAGTGTATGTATCCTGAGTGACAGTGTATGTACCCTGAGTGACAGTGTATCTATTCTGAGTGACAGTGTGTGTGTGTATCCTGAGTGACAGTGTGTGTGTATCCTGAGTGACAGTGTATGTATCCTGAGTGACAGTGTATATATCCTGAGTGATACTGTATCCTGAGTGACAGTGTATGTATCCTGAGTGACAGTGTATATATCCTGAGTGACAGTGTATCCTGAGTGACAGTGTATCCTGAGTGACAGTGTATTCTGAGTGACAGTGTATCCTGAGTGACAGTGTATGTATCCTGAGTGACAGTGTATGTATACTGAGTGACAGTGTGTGTATTCTGAGTGACAGTGTATCTATTCTGAGTGACAGTGTGTATACCCTGAGTGACAGTGTATCTATTCTGAGTGACAGTGTGTGTGTGTATCCTGAGTAACAGTGTATCCTGAGTGACAGCGTATGTATCCTGAGTGACAGTGTATGTATCCTGAGTGACAGTGTGTATACCCTGAGTGACAGTGTGTATACCCTGAGTGACAGTGTATGTATCCTGAGTGACAGTGTGTATACCCTGAGTGACAGTGTGTATACCCTGAGTGACAGTGTATGCATCCTGAGTGAGTGTATGTATCCTGAGTGACAGTGTATGTACCCTGAGTGACAGTGTATCTATTCTCAGTGACAGTGTGTGTGTATCCTGAGTGACTGTGTGTATCCTGAGTGACAGTGTATGTATCCTGAGTGACAGTGTATATATCCTGAGTGACACTGTATCCTGAGTGACAGTGTATGTATCCTGAGTGACAGTGTATATAGCCTGAGTGACAGTGTATCCTGAGTGACAGTGTATCCTGAGTGACAGTGTATCCTGAGTGACAGTGTATCCTGAGTGACAGTGTATCCTGAGTGACAGTGTATCCTGAGTGACAGTGTATTCTGAGTGACAGTGTATCCTGAGTGACAGTGTATGTATCCTGAGTGACAGTGTACTCCCTAAGAATGGCATCCTTAACCAAATATATACCAATTATGTCTCCTCCAAGGAATATCTCTTCACTAAAGATTAACAAGGCAATTATTCTTGTATTAAAAAGCCACTTGTACTTGTATTAAAAAGCCACTTGTACTTGTATTAAAAAGCCACTTGTTCTTGAATAAAAAGCCACTTGTTCTTGTATTAAAAAGCCACTTGTTCTTGAATTAAAAAGCCACTTTCTTGTATTAAAAAGCCACTTGTTCTTGTATTAAAAAGCCACTTGTTCTTGAATAAAAAGCCACTTGTATTAAAAAGCCACTTGTACTTGTATTAAAAAGCCACTTGTATTAAAAAGCCACTTGTATTGTATTAAAAAGCCACCTGTACTTGTATTAAAAAGCCACTTGTACTTGTATTAAAAAGCCACTTGTACTTGTATTAAAAAGCCACTTGTACTTGTATTAAAAAGCCACTTGTACTTGTATTAAAAAGCCACTTCTTCTTGTATTAAAAAGCCACTTGTTCTTGAATTAAAAAGCCACTTGTACTTGTATTAAAAAGCCACTTCTTCTTGTATTAAAAAGCCACTTGTACTTGTATTAAAAAGCCACTTCTTCTTGTATTAAAAAGCCACTTGTACTTGTATTAAAAAGCCACTTCTTCTTGTATTAAAAAGCCACTTGTACTTGTATTAAAAAGCCACTTGTACTTGTATTAAAAAGCCACTTGTATTAAAAAGCCACTTGTCTTGAATTAAAAGCCACTTGTACTTGTATTAAAAAGCCACTTCTTCTTGTATTAAAAAGCCACTTGTACTTGTATTAAAAAGCCACTTGTACTTGTATTAAAAAGCCACTTGTACTTGTATTAAAAAGCCACTTGTACTTGTATTAAAAAGCCACTTGTACTTGTATTAAAAAGCCACTTGTACTTGTATTAAAAAGCCACTTGTACTTGTATTAAAAAGCCACTTGTACTTGTATTAAAAAGCCACTTCTTCTTGTATTAAAAAGCCACTTGTACTTGTATTAAAAAGCCACTTGTACTTGTATTAAAAAGCCACTTCTTCTTGTATTAAAAAGCCACTTGTACTTGTATTAAAAAGCCACTTGTACTTGTATTAAAAAGCCACTTCTTCTTGTATTAAAAAGCCACTTGTTCTTGAATTAAAAAAATCCCTTATACCTGTAATAATAACCCCCCCCCTAGTAGTTAACAAGCGTCTTGTACCCACCTTTCTCTTGCTTGCTAACAAGCTTGGTGGCAGAGGACCTGAGGGCGATGATGTTAGCGTTGGCCAGCAGGCCGAGGGGCGGCCCCACCCACAGCAGGTAGCCCCTACCAGAGGTCACCAGCCCGTAGCACAGGTACTCTAGCATGATAGACACGGTCCCTAGGACCACTAAGGCCAGGTCCGAGAAGTTCAGCAGGTTGGAGAGTGTAGGCACCAGGGACAGGGAGCCTGGTGGGTGAGAGGTCATATTAGGGACCAGGGACAGGGAGCCTGGTGGGTGAGAGGTCATATTAGGGACCAGGGACAGGGAGCCTGGTGGGTGAGAGGTCATGTTAGGGGCCAGGGACAGGGAGCCTGGTGGGTGAGAGGTCATGTTAGGGGCCAGGGACAGGGAGCCTGGTGGATGAGAGGTCATGTTAGGAACTAGGGACAGGGAACCTGGTGGGTGAGGGGTCATGTTAGGGGCCAGGGACAGGGAGCCTGGTGGGTGAGGGGTCATGTTAGGAACTAGGGACAGGGAGCCTGGTGGGTGAGAGGTCACGTTAGGGGCCAGGGACAGGGAGCCTGGTGGGTGAGGGGTCATGTTAGGGACCAGGGACAGGGAGCCTGGTGGGTGAGAGGTCATGTTAGGGGCCAGGGACAGGGAGCCTGGTGGGTGAGAGGTCATGTTAGGGGCCAGGGACAGGGAGCCTGGTGGGTGAGGGGTCATGTTAGGGACCAGGGACAGGGAGCCTGGTGGGTGAGGGGTCATGTTAGGGACCAGGGACAGGGAGCCTGGTGGGTGAGAGGTCATGTTAGGGACCAGGGACAGGGAGCCTGGTGGGTGAGAGGTCATGTTAGGGACCAGGGACAGGGAGCCTGGTGGGTGAGAGGTCATGTTAGGGACCAGGGACAGGGAGCCTGGTGGGTGAGAGGTCATGTTAGGGACCAGGGACAGGGAGCCTGGTGGGTGAGGGGTCATGTTAGGGGCCAGGGACAGGGGACAATAGTCAGGAACCTCTGGCCATTTAGACCAGAATTATATTACAACTGTAAGTGCTGACAGACCTCCTTGAAGACACCATCCACTACTTCAATATTGTCCAATATATTTGTGCTCCGTCCTCGACCTACTCTCGGGAATCAGGGGTTCGATCCCCGAACGGGAAGGGAATTGTTAGCCACGTCTTCATTGCCCAGAATGATTAAACTGTCATACACACTTGTGTGGAAATAGACATTCCAGTTACCTGGGCTGTAGGAGACTCAAATCGCGAACCCCACGAGTGTTGGTAGAGCTGTGGCCTCTAACACGCTTGGGTCCGCGGTTCGAGTCTGCTATAGAGCCCAGGAGAGTGGACAGAGCAGAGTGGTAGAGGCAGAGCTCACCCAGAGCGGCGACCAGGGTCCTGTACGACATCCAGAAGCTGTAGTCGTCTCCCTCCCACAGCAACACCCGCCGCACGAACATGTACATGAAGAACCCTGGAAATACGACACAGGTATCGTCACTACCGCTGGTCACCTTGCGCCTGGCGGCCCGCTGGGAGTCAAACGACGCTGCGTACGCATTGCGTCTGTTGCGTTAGCTGCGCGTGACGGTGTTGTGAGCGGTTATATTGACCAGAGTGCCGTGAGGAGGTCGAACACGGTCATTACAACACTGGCGCCGCCCACACACCTGTACTGACCTCTCAGGGCTGTGAACCTGGCGCAGTCACAGCGGTCCAACACGGTCATTACAACACTGGCGCCGCCCACACACCTGTACTGACCTCTCAGGGTTGTGAACCTGGCGCAGTCACAGCGTAGTTTGACCCCCACACGAGGTCATCAATGTATCACTAAACAATTGTTGATCAAAATTATACTCCAAATGTGACATTTCAGTATATCGTGAGAGACGTGTTGACCTCAGAATATTGTCCAAGTATTCCTTTATGCTCACAAATTATCCAATATCTCAATTATAACAAGGAACTACACAACACGACCTGTAGTCATCAAATACTTGAGTGTCCCCTTACGAAACCCCTTCATCTTGCCTCCACCAAGGCGGCTGAGTGTACTAAAGAGCTCACGAGGCGGGAAGCACTAGAGGAAGGTGTCTCTGACAGCTCTCTTCTCACGCCTCTAAAAATGTCTGATAGAAACCGAGTCGCCGAGATGAAAGAAAGATGTAAAGGTTTCGCAGGTGGCCCTCGTGGGCCCTGGTGACCTACCTCTGGCCACTCGGCGGATCATGTTGGCCACAATGACGGCCACAATGACAACGCGGGTGTTTCCCTCACGGCGTTTTAACGCCGTCTTGTACACATCAACCAAGTGCTTCGGTCTGAAGAAATCCTTCGCCATCTGCCAGACAGTAATATCCTCCTTCTTGAGTCCCTGGTCCGCATCAGGGCCGCTTCTGGCCCGAAACGACTCATCCATAAACGGGCCATGAGTCTCGGCGATAAAGAACGCCACATACAGTATCGCGGCGAGATACGCTATCAACAACAGCAACAGTCCGCCGTTGTCGTTTCCCGTAGCGATGAAGAACCCGCAGAGGAGAGTACCCAGGGGTCCTCCGAGGTACCACAGGGAGTTGTTGGTACTCACCCTGGAGGTGTGAGTCTTGAGGGAACTCAGGTCGCTGGTATAGCAGGTACCCATGGCCAGGAAGCAGGCGTTCCCGCCCCCCAGGGCCTCCAGGAACGTCACCAAGAACAGCACTTCGACCGGCCACCACGACATGTAATTATAGAGCAGGTAGCCGCCGGCGTAGCACGCGTGCGCTGTCAGGGTGATGAGTAGAGGCACCTGGTGAGTAAGATAGTGTGAGCATGGTGAGTAAGTGTGAGCATGGTGAGTAAGTGTGAGAATGGTGAGTAAGATAGTGTGAGCATGGTGAGTAAGATAGTGTGAGCATGGTGAGTATGATAGTGTGAGCATGGTGAGTAAGATAATGTGAGCATGGTAAGATAGTGTGAGCATGGTGAGTAAGGCAGTGTGAGGGTGGTGAGTAAGATAGTGTGAGGGTGGTGAGTATGATAGCGTAAGCATGGTAAGATAGTGTGAGCATGGTGAGTAAGATAGTGTGAGCATGGTGAGTAAGATAGTGTGAGCATGGTGAGTAAGATAGTGTGAGCATGGTGAGTATGATAGTGTGAGCATGGTGAGTATGATAGTGTGAGCATGGTGAGTAAGATAATGTGAGCATGGTGAGTAAGATAGTGTGAGCATGGTGAGTAAAATAGTGTGAGCATGGTGAGTATAGGCACAGTGTGAGGATGGTGAGTAAGATAGTGTGAGCATGGTGAGTAAGATAGTGTGAGCATGGTGAGTATAGGCACAGTGTGAGGATGGTGAGTAAGATAGTGTGAGCATGGTGAGTAAGATAGTGCGAGCATGGTGAGTAAGATAGTGTGAGCATGGTGAATAAGATAGTGTGAGGGTGGTGAGTAAGATAGTGTGAGCATGGTGAGTAAGATAGTGTGAGCATGGTGAGTAAGATAGTGTGAGCATGGTGAGTAAGATAGTGTGAGCATGGTAAGATAGTGTGAGGGTGGTGAGTAAGATAGTGTGAGGGTGGTGAGTAAGATAGTGTGAGGGGTGGTGAGTAAGATAGTGTGAGTATGGTGAGTAAGATAGTGTGAGTATGGTGAGTAAGATAGTGTGACTATGGTGAGTAAGATAGTGTGAGGATGGTGAATAATAATTAAAGAATGTAAACAATGAACAATACTTTAACACGCGGACATGAGTAAAAGGACATGAGTCCGTTGATGATTCATCTGAGTAATCCAGGAAACATCTGATTCATACCTTCAGCACAAAGTTACGTGAATGAGTAAAAAATTAATAATTCTGAACTTTGATGAAAAAAACACGAGATTGTACCAGTAATGTTAATTGTGACCTCTGGGGTCATGACCTCTGGGGTCGTGACCTCTGGGGTCATGACCTTGGTGTGACCTCTGGGGTCGTGACCTTGGTGTGACCTCTGGGGTCATGACCTTGGTGTGACCTCTGCGGTCATGACCTTGGTGTGACCTCTGGGGGTCCTGACCGTGGTGTGACCTCTGGGGTCATGACCTTGGTGTGACTTCTGGGGTCATGACCTTGGTGTGACCTCTGGGGTCATGACCTTTGTGTGACCTGTGGGATCATGACCTTGGTGTGACCTCTGGGGTCGTGACCTTGGTGTGACCTCTGAGATAGTGACCGTAGTGTGACCTCTGGGGTCATGACCTTAGTGTGACCTCTGGGGTCATGACCTTGGTATGACCTCTAGGGTCATGACCTTGGTGTGACCTCTGGTGTCATGACCTTAGTGTGACCTCTGGAGTCAAGACCTGGGTGTGACCTCTGGTGTCGTGACCTTGGTGTGACCTCTGGGGTCATGACCTTGGTGTGACCTCTGGTGGCATGACCTCTGGGGTCATGACCTTGGTGTGACCTCTGGGATAGTGACCGTAGTGTGACCACTGGGGTCATGACCTTAGTGTGACCTCTGGGGTCAAGACCTGGGTGTGACCTCTGGGGTCAAGACCTGGGTGTGACCTCTGGGGTCATGACCATGGTGTGACCTTTGAGGTCATGGGCTTGGTGTGACCTCTGGTGTCATCACCTCTGGGGTCATGACCTTGGTGTGACCTCTGGGGTCATGACCTTGGTGTGACCTCTGGGGTCATGACCGTGGTGTGACCTCTGAGGTCATGACTGTGGTGTGACCTCTGGGGTCATGATCAACAACAAACACATAATCACCCCCAACAAACACATAATCACCCCAACAAACACATAATCACACCAACAAACACATAATCACCACCAACAAACACATAATCACCCCCAACAAACAAATAATCACCCCCAACAAACACATAATCACCCCAACAAACACATAATCACACCAACAAACACATAATCACCACCAACAAACACATAATCACCCCCAACAAACAAATAATCACCCCCAACAAACACATAATCACTCCAACAAACACATAATCACACCAACAAACACATAATCACCCCAACAAACACATAATCACCCCCAACAAACACATAATCACTCCAACAAACACATAATCACACCAACAAACACATAATCACCCCAACAAACACATAATCACCCCCAACAAACACATAATCACTCCAACAAACACATAATCACACCAACAAACACATAATCACCCCAACAAACACATAATCACCCCCAACAAACACATAATCACTCCAACAAACACATAATCACACCAACAAACACATAATCACCCCAACAAACACATAATCACACCAACAAACACATAATCACCACCAACAAACACATAATCACCCCCAACAAACAAATAAACACCCCAACAACAATAATCACTCCAACAAACACATAATCACCCCAACAACAAACACATAATCACTCCAACAAACACATAATCACACCAACAAACACATAATCACCCCAACAAACACATAATCACACCAACAAACACATAATCACCCCAACAAACACATAATCACCCCAACAAACACATAATCACACCAACAAACACATAATCACCCCAACAAACACATAATCACCCCAACAAACACATAATCACCCCCAACAAACACATAATCACACCAACAAACATATAATCACCACCAACAAACACATAATCACCCCAACAAACACATAATCACCCCCAACAAACACATAATCACCCCCAACAAACACATAATCACTCCAACAAACACATAATCACCCCAACAAACACATAATCACCCCAACAAACACATAATCACCCCAACAAACACATAATCACCCCCAACAAACACATAATCACCCCAACAAACACATAATCACCCCAACAAACACATAATCACCCCAACAAACACATAATCACCCCAACAAACACATAATCACCCCAACAAACACATAATCACCCCCAACAAACACATAATCACCCCCAACAAACACATAATCACCCCAACAAACACATAATCACCCCAACAAACACATAATCACCCCAACAAACACATAATCACCCCAACAAACACATAATCACCCCAACAAACACATAATCACCCCCAACAAACACATAATCACCCCAACAAACACATAATCACCCCAACAAACACATAATCACCCAAACAAACACATAATCACCCCAACAAACACATAATCACCCCAACAAACACATAATCACCCCAACAAACACATAATCACCCCAACAAACACATAATCACCCCCAACAAACACATAATCACCCCAACAAACACATAATCACCCCAACAAACACATAATCACCCCAACAAACACATAATCACCCCCAACAAACACATAATCACCCCAACAAACACATAATCACCCCCAACAAACACATAATCACCCCAACAAACACATAATCACCCCAACAAACACATAATCACCCCAACAAACACATAATCACCCCAACAAACACATAATCACCCCAACAAACACATAATCACACCAACAAACACATAATCACCCCAACAAACACATAATCACCCCAACAAACACATAATCACCCCAACAAACACATAATCACCCCAACAAACACATAATCACCCCAACAAACACATAATCACCCCAACAAACACATAATCACCCCAACAAACACATAATCACCCCCAACAAACACATAATCACCCCAACAAACACATAATCACCCCAACAAACACATAATCACCCCAACAAACACATAATCACCCCAACAAACACATAATCACCCCAACAAACACATAATCACCCCCAACAAACACATAATCACCCCCAACAAACACATAATCACCCCCAACAAACACATAATCACCCCCAACAAACACATAATCACCCCCAACAAACACATAATCACTCCCAACAAACACATAATCACCCCCAACAAACACATAATCATCCCCCAACAAACACATAATCACCCCCAACAAACACATAATCACCCCCAACAAACACATAATCACCCCCAACAAACACATAATCACCCCCAACACATAATCACCCCCAACAAACACATAATCATCCCCCAACAAACACATAATCACCCAAACAAACACATATCACCCCCAACAAACACATAATCATCCCCCAACAAACACATAATCACCCAAACAAACACATATCACCCCCAACAAACACATAATCACCCCCAACAAACACATAATCACCCCCAACAAACACATAATCACCCCAACAAACACATAATCACCCCAACAAACACATAATCACCCCCAACAAACACATAATCACCCCCAACAAACACATAATCACCCAAACAAACACATAATCACCCCCAACAAACACATAATCACCCAAACAAACACATATCACCCCCAACAAACACAAAATCACCCCAACAAACACATAATCACTCCCAACAAACACATAATCACCCAAACAAACACATATCACCCCCAACAAACACATAATCACTCCCAACAAACACATAATCACCCAAACAAACACATAATCACTCCCAACAAACACATAATCACCCCAACAAACACATAATCACCCCCAACAAACACATAATCACTCCCAACAAACACATAATCACCCCCAACAAACACATAATCACTCCCAACAAACACATAATCACCCCCAAACACATAATCACCCAAACAAACACATAATCACTCCCAACAAACACATAATCACTCCCAACAAACACATAATCACCCAAACAAACACATAATCACTCCCAACAAACACATAATCACTCACAACAAACACATAATCACCCCAACAAACACATAATCACCCCAACAAACACATAATCACTCCCAACAAACACATAATCACCCAAACAAACACATAATCACTCCCAACAAACACATAATCACCCCAACAAACACATAATCACTCCCAACAAACACATAATCACCCAAACAAACACATAATCACTCCCAACAAACACATAATCACTCACAACAAACACATAATCACCCAAACAAACACATAATCACTCCCAACAAACACATAATCACTCACAACAAACACATAATCACCCCAACAAACACATAATCACCCCAACAAACACATAATCACCCCAACAAACACATAATTACTCCCAACAAACACATAATCACCCCAACAAACACATAATCACTCTCAACAAACACATAATCACCCCAACAAACACATAATCACCTCCAACAAACACATAATCACTCCCAACAAACACATAATCACTCCCAACAAACACATAATCACCCCAACAAACACATAATCACCCCAACAAACACATAATCACTCTCAACAAACACATAATCACCCCAACAAACACATAATCACTCCAACAAACACATAATCACCCAAACAAACACATAATCACCCCAACAAACACATAATCACCCCAACAAACACATAATCACTCCCAACAAACACATAATCACCCCAACAAACACATAATCACTTCCAACAAACACATAATCACCCCAACATACACATAATTACTCCCAACAAACACATAATCACCCCAACAAACACATAATCACTCCCAACAAACACATAATCACCCCAACAAACACATAATCACTCCAACAAACACATAATTACTCCCAACAAACACATAATCACCCCAACAAACACATAATTACTCCCAACAAACACATAATCACCCCAACAAACACATAATCACCCCAACAAACACATAATCACCCCAACAAACACATAATTACTCCCAACAAACACATAATCACCCCAACAAACACATAATCACCCCAACAAACACATAATCACTCCAACAAACACATAATCACTCCCAACAAACACATAATCACTCCCAACAAACACATAATCACCCCAACAAACACATAATCACTCCAACAAACACATAATCACTCCAACAAACACATAATCACTCCAACAAACACATAATCACTCCCAACAAACACATAATCACTCCAACAAACACATAATCACTCCAACAAACACATAATCACTCCAACAAACACATAATCACTCCCAACAAACACATAATCACTCCAACAAACACATAATCACTCCAACAAACACATAATCACTCCCAACAAACACATAATCACTCCCAACAAACACATAATCACTCCAACAAACACATAATCACTCCAACAAACACATAATCACCCCAACAAACACATAATCACTCCAACAAACACATAATCACTCCAACAAACACATAATCACTCCAACAAACACATAATTACCCCAACAAACACATAATCACTCCAACAAACACATAATCACTCCAACAAACACATAATCACTCCAACAAACACATAATCACTCCCAACAAACACATAATCACTCCAACAAACACATAATCACTCCAACAAACACATAATCACTCCCAACAAACACATAATCACTCCCAACAAACACATAATCACTCCAACAAACACATAATCACTCCAACAAACACATAATCACCCCAACAAACACATAATCACTCCAACAAACACATAATCACTCCAACAAACACATAATCACTCCAAAACAAACACATACAACAAACACATAATCACTCCAACAAACACATAATCACTCCAACAAACACATAATCACCCCAACAAACACATAATCACTCCAACAAACACATAATCACTCCAACAAACACATAATCACTCCAACAAACACATAATCACCCCAACAAACACATAATCACCCCAACAAACACATAATCATTCCCAACAAACACATAATCACCCCAACAAACACATAATCACCCCAACAAACACATACCCCCGGAACCAAGCACACAGGGAACAAAGAACAAAGACACTGCTCACCTTGCGGCCGTACTTGTCGCTCCAGGCACCGAGGAAGATGCCCATAAAGGCGGGCACCAGCGACATGAGGATGGCGTTGTACACCGAGAACTTTGTGAAGGCCTGTTGAGCCACGATGGTCTCCTCCTCGTAGGCTGTCATGTTCCCACACACCTGCAGGGGGCATGGGCACGCTCAGTGGGGCAGGGAATGGGTATGTTCAGTCGGGCAGGGCATGGGTATGTTCAGTGGGGCAGGGCATGGGCACGCTTAGTGGGGCAGGGCACGTTCAGTGGGGCAGGGCATGGGCACGCTTAGTGGGGCAGGGCACGTTCAGTGGGGCAGGGTATGGGCACGCTTAGTGGGGCAGGGTATGGGCACGCTTAGTGGGGCAGGGTATGGGCACGCTCAGTGGGGCAGGGCATGGGCACGCTCAGTGGGGCAGGGCATGGGTACGCTCTGTGGGGCAGGGCATGGGCACGCTCAGTGGGGCAAGGCATGGGCACGCTTAGTGGGGCAGGGCATGGGTACGCTCAGTGGGGCAGGGCATGGGTACGCTCAGTGGGGCAGGGCATGGGTACGCTCAGTGGGGCAGGGCATGGGTACGCTCAGTGGGGCAGGGCATGGGTACGCTCAGTGGGGCAGGGTATGGGCACGCTTAGTGGGGCAGGGTATGGGCACGCTTAGTGGGGCAGGGTATGGGCACGCTCAGTGGGGCAGGGCATGGGCACGCTCAGTGGGGCAGGGCATGGGTACGCTCTGTGGGGCAGGGCATGGGCACGCTCAGTGGGGCAAGGCATGGGCACGCTTAGTGGGGCAGGGCATGGGTACGCTCAGTGGGGCAGGGCATAGGTATGTTCAGTGGGGCAGGGCATGGGCACGCTCAGTGGGGCAGGGCATGGGTACGCTCAGTGGGGCAGGGCATGGGTACGCTCAGTGCGGCACATGGGTACGCTCAGTGGGGCAGGGCATGGGCACGCTTAGTGGGGCAGGGCATGGGCACGCTTAGTGGGGCAGGGCATGGGTACGCTCAGTGGGGCAGGGCATGGGTACGCTCAGTGCGGCACATGGGTACGCTCAGTGGGGCAGGGCATGGGCACGCTTAGTGGGGCAGGGCATGGGCACGCTTAGTGGGGCAGGGCATGGGCACGCTTAGTGGGGCAGGGCATGGGCACGCTTAGTGGGGCAGGGCATGGGCACGCTTAGTGGGGCAGGGCATGGGTACGCTCAGTGGGGCAGGGCATGGGCACGCTTAGTGGGGCAGGGCATGGGTACGCTCAGTGGGGCAGGGCATGGGTACGCTCAGTGGGGCAGGGTATGGGCACGCTTAGTGGGGCAGGGTATGGGCACGCTTAGTGGGGCAGGGTATGGGCACGCTCAGTGGGGCAGGGCATGGGCACGCTCAGTGGGGCAGGGCATGGGTACGCTCTGTGGGGCAGGGCATGGGTACGCTCAGTGGGGCAGGGCATGGGCACGCTTAGTGGGGCAGGGCATGGGCACGCTTAGTGGGGCAGGGCATGGGCACGCTCAGTGGGGCAGGACATGGGCACGCTTAGTGGGGCAGGGCATGGGCACGCTCAAACAACATTTAGGCAAAACTTTCTTAAAAGCAAAATGGAAAATAAAATGCGTTTTTCCTTATCATTGAAAAAGCTTTATTTTTCTTTAAGAATCAAGAAATCAAAACAACCCCGACTAAAACTAGGCAAGAACGTGTAAAGAGACCAACCTCCTCCGGCAGGCCGAGCTTGACGGAGCATATCTTGTTGAGCTGAATGTTCTCGGAGAAGATGAGCATGGCCTGGTTACATGCTCCGTCGAGGAGCATGACGGGCTCCAGGGTGGCCAGCCTGACAGCGTTCACCCAGCCCCACACCACCCGGGCCGCCGGCTTCCACGCTGCCTCTGGCGCGCAGGTCTTCTCCCCCGTCATCACACTCGATGCTCCTGTGTCTTCCTGGGGTCCAGACATTACTATTATTAGTATTATTATTAGTATTCTTATTAGTATTATTTTTGTACTTGTTATTGGTACCCATTTTCCCATTTTTGTTGAGTGGGGAGCCATACTTCTGGGGCCAGATTCACGAAAGCACTTACGCAAACACTTACGAACCTGTACATCTTTTCTCAATCTTTGGCGGCTTTGTTTACAATTATTAAACAGTTAATGAGCTCTGAAGCACCAGGAGGCTGTTTATAACAATAACAACAGTTGATTGGCAAGTTTTCATGCTTGTAAACTGTTTAATAAATGTAACCAAAGCCGTCAAAGATTGAGGAAAGATGTACACGTTCGTAAGTGCTTGCGTAAGTGCTTTCGTGAATCTGGCCCCAAGTCAATAACAGTGTGCAAAAAATAATGCAAGAATTTATTTTCAAATTACAGGACTCCCATTAGGGTGTTGTAAATGCTAGATGTACTGTCTGGTAATGTTTGGGTGAGAGTGCTTCGGCTAGGATTAGTCTCCTTTTATCAGTGTTAGAGGCAGACACAGTGATCTTGCTGCAGTGTCAACACCGTTGCTGGAGTGAGGAGTGGCGATTTGGGCGCCATCTTTGGACCTGCCCTCCAACTCCTAGACATTACGTGAGACGAAAATAACGCCATCTGTTGGTGGAGGTGTGGCGTCTATGAGAGGCTCCTGGGGCCAGATTCACGAAAGCACTTACGATCCTGTACATCTTTTCTCAATCTTTGGTGGCTTTGTTTACAATTATTAAACAGTTTACAAGCATGAAAACTTCCCAATCAACTGTTGTTATTGTTATAAACAGCCTCCTGGTGCTTCGGAGCTCATTAACTGTTTAATAATTGTAAACAAAGCCGCCAAAGATTGAGAAAAGACATACAGGTTCGTAAGTGCTTTCGTGAATCTGGCCCCTGTTTCGTACCTCAGTGAGGCGGTGAGGTCGATGACGATGACCTCTGGTGGTGACGTAAAGATATCAACGCCATCTAGGTTGTTCATTCCATTACAATTTCGGTTCCTCGGTGAAAGATTGTCATCCTATGTTCTCCCTGTATATTATCTGTCTGGCTAAAGACTTTCATGTTCACAGAGGTGTCGTGAAAAGTCTGTTGCACTGTGGCAGGCAGTTCACCTTGGGCAGTCCAAAACTCCTGACTTGGTCGTGTGAGAGGACAGGTGGCCGCCGTCGGTAGTAAGTTGTGTGTTACCTGTTCTACTTAGGAAGTGTTGTGTGGACCGACGTACCTGGAATTTGGCCAGGGGGGGGGGGTACTAGATGACAGTAGTGTCCGTCTGGTGATAAGTGTTGCTAGTGTGTTGCTAGTGTGTTGCTAGTGTGTTGCTAGTGTGTTGCTAGAGACTTCTGCCAGGGTGTTAGGGACCCCTGGGATCAGGTTCACGAAGCAGTTACGCAACCACTTGTGAACCTGTACATCTTTTCTCAATATTTGGCGGCTTTGTTTACAATTATTAAACAGTTAATGGGCTCCGAAGCACAAGGAGGCTTTTTATAACAATAACAACAGTTGATTGCGAAATTTTCATGTAAACTGTTTAATAAATGTAACCAAAGCCGTCAAAGATTGAGGAAAGATGTGCACGTTCGTAAGTACTAGCGTAACTGCTTGGTGAATCTGGCCCCGGGACGTGATTATTTGTGACCCTCGTCAGCGTGGTGCTACCCGCCCAACACACACCGAAACTACCACGTTGGTACAACGTTCGAACAAGTTTTAACACCTCCTAACCAGTTATTACAACCAATATAGCAAGTTGTAACAACGTTCTAATACGTCATAAACACGTTAAGCCAAGATGTAACAACTTTATTACAAGTTGTAACAAGCGGAAAATAGAGACAGTTTCGGTTTGTGTTTCCAGGGATAAAGCCCTCTGGCAGAGTGTTTCTGGCGAGCGGGTGTGAGGCATTGTGGCATCATGACGATATGGTGTGTGGCCCACGGTGATGGTGAACTCGCCGGTGATTACCACAGAGTGTGGACAACGTATACTTGAAGATAGTGGACTCGCTGGGTTTTGAAGAACACTATCGATATATTGAGTGTTCTGGGAGAAAGCGACACTGTGTACATAAGTGTAGTTATACTTCGATAATATATTAGTGAAGGTATAATTGCGTCTTGTTTACCCCCTTTATTCCTTGCACTATTACTTGCTACCGCCAATTCCTGAGAACTCACCATTGACTTGGGGTGGGATCATAGACTCTAAGGCACATTAAGCAGTAAGAACCCGGTTATTGACTCAAGCTGGCCGTAACAGATCCCATCTGGGAGACCGCCGGATTGGTAGTCTTACAGGGCATTAAATAATTTGGCTCTCTGAAGTACATCAAACCATAGTAAGACTTCACTTAATGAAGTCGTTATCGTCACTGTGACAAGTGCCAGGCCTGTGTGCGTTTTTTTTTTTTTTTTTTTTTTTTATTATTTTCTACCACAGACGTGGCCACACATTTACAATGCTAACCAGCATATATACATTTTCTTCTGTCCTCCATGGACAGGGTTAGAGAAATGTTAAACATATAGTTCAAGGGTTTATTGAACACTCAACCACAGAAGGTGATTCGGTGCTTTTAAAATGCTAAGCTAACCTACATACGTAAATACATAGATACACAGATTTACGTATGCCCTACATAAAGTGTTTGATGTGTCTTTTACATAGTGTCATTAATGTACATTTACAAAGGTGAAATGTAATTCTGATCAGCTTCCATATATACTTTATACCCATACATATACATACATATATACACACACATACATCTGTCTCATTTACTCTGACAGGGTGAGATAGCTGATAAAGAAACTAGTGTGCAATTAAGAACTTAATCACTGAAGGTGATTAAGGTGCTTTTACAAGCTCAGGTTATATAGTTACATCACATACATACATTGTATAAATGATACATTACATGGTTAATCTTGGGTACAAGTCCAATATATCATCAAGTGTTCCAGTACTCATATAGTACTTACACAGTTCAGCATACCTTAGCCCAGGAGGGCGAAAGTCAGTCAATATGGGACATTCTACAATATAATGTTCAAGAGAGTGCATGTTTTCTCTTTCACAAAGTTGACACATTGTGTACTCGACATTTGGGTTTTGAGAAAGCTGCCAGATACGTCTATATCCCAGGCGTATTCTGGCCACTATAACATCACATTGCCGGGTTCTTGTTCTATTAGTCCCATATGTGAATGTCTCCTCACGATATCTATCATAATATTTAATGCTACAACTCTCAGGTCTTTGTGAATTTGTTAGGTCGATGAGATCTTCATTAGATATTTGTTTAAGTATTCTCTTTGTCACTGCTAATGAAACACCCATATCAATTTCTACCACTGGTTTTCTGCAGGCTGTCTTAGCAAGCATATCAACAGTGTCATGCCTTGAGATGCCAACATGTGATGGTATCCATAGGAATTTAATCTCAAATCTGTTTTCTTTAGCAGCTAAAACATTCATTCGAATATCACTGACTATTTTCTGGGTGTCACTACTATGTGCGTTCAGTGCCAGGAGTGCACTCTGTGTGCGTTGGCAGAGAGAGACTCCGCTGTAACCCGTCCTCCTAACAGAATGTCGCATTATGACGTATACACGACCTAAGGACAAAAATTGTCGTACTAGAAAATGGCAGCAGATCACAAAATTGACATACTGGCCCATTTTCTGATTTGGGTCCTCTGGAAGGTTAGGATAAGGCTACTTTAGTATGACAGTTTCATGACGTTGGAAAACCTTAGGTGCACGGGGTGGAGGATGATCGTATCAGCCAGCATCCACCTCGTCACAAATGCACCTGTATTTTTTTTTTTTTTTTTTTGAGATATATACAAGAGTTGTTACATTCTTGTACAGCCACTAGTACGCGTAGCGTTTCGGGCAAGTCCTTAATCCTATGGTCCCTGGAATACGATCCCCTGCCGCGAAGAATCGTTAAGGTATTAACGTATGGTATTTTGTGTGGACTAGAGCGGTAATGCAGAGCCATTGCATTTCGGAAGCCCCATGTTTTGAGAAGCGAGTTTGCTGACATGTGGGTTGGTAATATGTTGGTGTACGCATGGGAAGCTGCTACTGCTGTGAGGCGAGCAACGTCACGTGATGTCGCAGCATCTGTGGCTGTTCGGTCTATGATGGGGCTGTCCCAACTGGATTGCTTGTCGACTTTAAATGCAGGTAGCTAGAACTGTGAGAAAGGTCTCTCACAGAGACCTTTCTCACCCCCAGATGAGCTCACTCAGCTGTGAATATGAGCTATGACCCCAGCAGACTCTGAGACCCCTGTCACAGTTGGCTGGGGTCGTGTACCCCAGCCAAGTAGCCTACTTAATCGGGAAGGATTTTATTCACCAGGAGGTGCAGAAGAGGACAGGAAGGCTGGATATATGTGTGGTGTGTGTGTGTGTGTGTTTAGTTTTTGTGCCTGTTAAAGATGAGCTATTAGCTCTTGGCCCCGCCTTTCTAGCCCTTGTAGTGACTCCTGACTTATTTCCCTATCATATCTACTTTTAAAGTTATGAATGGGGTTAGCCTCGACAACCTGCTCCTTTAGGGCATTCCATTTACTCACTACCATTACGCTAGAGGAAAACTTTCTAACATCTCTGACTCATCTGAGTCTCAAACTCTCCCCCCCCCCCCCCTCCCCCCTTGCCCCCTTGCTCTCTTGGTGTTCATTGTGAACATTTCCTCTTTCCACTCTGCCAATCTCCTTATATATTTTATACGTCTCTATCATGTCTCCCCTCCCTCTCCTTTTTTTTCTAGGGTCGATACGTTTAGTTCCTTCAGTCTCTCTTCATACTCCACCCCTCACAATTCCTGGACGAACCTAGGGCCAGATTCACGCAGCAGTTACGCAAGTACCTACGAACCTGTACATCTTTCCTCAGTCTTTGACGGCTTTGGTTACATTTATTAAACAGTTTACAAGCATGAAAAC